CCTGTTTTCCTCCCCTTCATTATTCCTTCTTGGTAACTTTTGGCTTTAACAACAATATTTATAGGACTGTCACATGCTCCAGAGTTTGTTGGACAGTCCTGACCTACACGCTTGTGTCCCAAATGCCTGCTATCTACCATTGGAATTCTGTCTTATTTTACAAATTGCTGTATTTTGTTGTGGTTTAGCATGCTTAGCCAAACATCACAGTTGAACATCTATCCTGCCAAACAGAAATGAACTCTTGACTGTTCTGGCTGAGTTTTACAATTAATTTGTTGGCCTGATCTTCTGAAGATGTTGTCTACATTAACCTAGTGCTCCTGATTGTCTGAAACTGCCACCAACTGCAGCAGAGTTAAGCCTGATGGTGCTACTGTAAACCAGGAAACTGGAACTCTTGATATACTGAGTGTTCTAGAATATATTTATAAACCAGACTGGTCAAAATTATCAGTAGCTACAGGAACAGCGCTTATATCACTATCTCTCATTATTGATACCACGAGTGAAAATACTACCATGGAGGTATCAGGGGCAAGAAATATGAGCTCACAAACAGACTTTAAAGGAAGGTGTATAGTATCTGAAGAGCTGACTGAAATATTTTCCTAGCTTACCATTATTTTTCAGCTGCTTCTTAGTTTGATACAGTCATCTTTAAAACAAATTAACACAACCCTTATAAGACACAGTTAAATCAAACTTACCTGAAATACAAACATGTGTCTGCCCGCAGGAACGGGTCCTACTAAAACAGAGTCTAACACCTGATCATACTCTTCACTTTCAGCTGAACCCACATAGATTATTTTCCATTCCAAGTCTACAGCAAAACAAAAAATCAAAAAAACAAACATTATTTATCGTTACAGTTAAGGGTCTTCCACTCTTGCCTATCTACAGTTTTGTATAGCCTAAAATTGCTTCTTTCGCAAGAGGCCTAAAGGAATAAGGACCTGTCTTCATTGGGGAAATTTACTGAAGCCTGTCCCAGTCCTCATGAACCATCCCACCATCTCTCTCCAGTCAGTCAGTACCTCAGGAATCCCTCTATTTTCATAGTCGGTTTAATTTTCAAATTTTATACAGAGGACAGGGCCCACTGACTTGTTGGGAGCTGTGTTCAGCATTTTCACAAAGTCTGTCGTTATGGCTGCAGCACAGGGATGATGCCTATGTGCACCTGTAATGCACTGCATGCCTTTAATACTGACTCACCTCCCCAAAAGAAACTCTCACCTTCCACATATACACCTCACAGCTTAAATTATACAGGTCAAGGAAGGTAGTTAATTGAATAAGAAAACCCACTGTATAAGCACCAGGCACACTAACTGTATGCCCGCATTCCTTCACATGTAACTTGTGTAACCTGAGAAGTATGTAAAATTGTGATAGCATCATTAGATCATATTCTCATCAAAGATATTGGTGCTTGGATTTTATCCACATCCTGAAATGGAATTACAGGCAAAAAAATTTAAATGTAGCATTTTTCTTCTTAAGATAGTGCACCAAAATCAAATATTTCTTACAATTCAGTTTTTTCTAACTCACCCTCTACACCACAGGTGTTAGATGTTGAAACTGCAAATTAGCACACATTAGCTCTTCCTAGGCCAGCTTTTCACTTTCACTTTTTGATTCAAAACCACATGCATAAATACACATATGGAACTAATCTTACAAGACAGACTTTTTTTTTTTTTAAACGAGGAAAAAAGATGACCATTATGGAAAACTATGACTAGCACTTTTTTTTTTTTTAAATGAAACTTGCTTCAAAACTGTACCTTAAAAACTTTTATGGTATATTTAATTTCTTTTTTTCCTTACAAACAATGCCCTGATTGTCTATACAAAATCACAAACCTGTACCCTATTACATTTACTTTATTACTGTGCTCTGCAAAATCCAAAAGGTCTACATTATGGGGGTTTTTTTGATGCAGGAATGGAACTCAAGTATAGAAACAACTTAGCACTTTAACAAAACTTGGGATGCTTTAGGACTGCAACTCTCTTTCCTCATTAATGAATTCTCTTTGCTTACCCTGTTTAACATCAATGCAGGTTTGGGGGGGTTTAAGTAACATAATTAACAGGGCTTGGAAAGGGATTTTACTCCTCTGTACACCACAGCACAATTGGCCAGGTACTGTATCAGAGGGTTTATTTACCTTTTAAGCATGTAACACTAGCTACTGACAGTACTGCAGCCTACTCATTCAGGACAATTAGGGACCTCTTTTGTCAGTATCTGCGCTATTTACCGTGTACAAGTCAGGACTTTTAGGCTAAACTACTTAAGATTATCACACCATCCTGTGCCATTCTTCTAGGAGAACAGTATAAAGTTCATTCTAAACCAGTAGTATTTAGTACTAAAAAATTGACTTTTAAAAAAACAGTTTTAAATTACACATTTAATAGGTTCATCCAAATGCTGTTTAGGTATCTTGATATGGAAAAACTTGAAAAAAAAAAACCAAAAACCAGACAAACAACAACAAAAAAAAAGAGGGCTGGAGTTCATTAATTGAGTTTTAAGATCAGTGCTGCACAGGACTGCCTGAAGAGAAAACAGCACAGTAAATAGATGTATTAGCACGTGAAAGCTAAGGCAACGACAGCAAGTTTTTCATCAAGTACAGAAAGGCCACGCTTAATCTTATTTTTAAACGTGAAAGACAGCAGTGCTCATCCTGAATTTATCCAGTAGTCTAACTTGCATGTAGGTGGGGGAAGGGAACGGAGAATTTTGCATTAGACCGTCTATAATTCTTCTCATCCCGATTGTCCGGGATTAACTCTAACGTAAATCCAGAGAGCGAGGAGCACGTCGCGTACAGCTGCGCACAGCTGGAGGGAAAGGCGTAACGCCTTGTGCCGAGCCCCTGCGCC